CAGAACCCAAGGGTTTATGAATGGCAGGTGCTGCCTTTTGGCACAACCTGTAGCCCTTGTGCTATTTATGCAGTACAGAGGCATGTACTAGATCACAGCGAAGGGAATGAGGAGATAGTCCAGTCAGTGCAGCAATGTTTTTATGTTGATAATTGCGTTCAGAGCCTCTCTTCATCTGAAGAAGCAAGATCTCTCATTGATAAAATGCGACCCCTATTGACAGATGGAGGGTTCAATATAAGACAATGGGCAAGCAATGATCATACTGTAATACAACATCTCCCACCTGACGCAAGATCCAAATCTACTGAACTGTGGCTCTCAGATATTGGTGACCCAACAGAACTAACGTTGGGTTTACAGTGGAATTGCCTGACCGATACCCTGAGCTACAAAACCAGACAAGCCACATCTTATGACCTCACTCTGCGAAATGTCTACAAGATTCTTGCGAGCCAATATGACCCTCTAGGTTATTTAATCCCCTTCACAACACGTGCAAAGATTCTAGTGCAAGACCTGTGGAAAGAAGAAAGAGAATGGGACAGTGTAATTCAATCAGACAAACTAAAGGACAAATGGCAATCATGGGAGAAGGAATTACAGACTCTTCATGTACTCAACTTTCCACGCTGTGTTCTACAGAAACCAAACGGTGCAGAAACCTCAGAGTTCCACATGCATGTCTTTTGCGATGCATCAGAACAGGTCTATGGGGCTGTTGCATACCTACAGGTAAAAACGGAGTCGACACATGTTAGCTTTGTTATGGCCAGATCTCGCATAGCTCCAAAACGCCAACTTTCCATACCCCGTCTTGAGTTATGTGCTGCCCTATCTGGCGCCCAACTGGCTCACCTGTTAAGTACTGAACTGACTATTCCGATTACCTCAATAACCCTCTGGACAGACTCAACAACTGTACTGTTATGGATAAGATCAGAGTCATGTCGTTACAAAGTCTTCGTAGGTACAAGGATCTCCGAAATACAGACTTTAACAGACACTAAAAATTGGAGATATGTTGACTCAAAAAACAACCCTGCAGATGACATAACCAGAGGAAAGACTCTCGTGGATCTATCACAGCCCAATAGGTGGAGCCAGGGACCCCCCTTTCTACTTCAACACGAAAGTTCCTGGCCCACATTTCCTCCTGTCCCAACCAGCAGTGAGCCTGTAGAAGAAATTAGGAAAACCATGGTCTGTGTTACACTAACGACAACAAAATCAAATGTACCTGATGTAAACAAATTTGACAACTGGACTGATCTCATAAAGGAAACCAAAGGTCTGCTGGATGGGACATCTGATTATGACAAGTGGAACAGTGCTAAACTGTTCATTGAATCTGAAAGACTTCTCCTTCAACAAGTACAAATGGACTGTTTCCCAGAGGAACTAACTGCCCTAAAGAAAAATAAGGAAATACCAAAACACAGCAAACTACTACCCCTCTCTCCTGAATATGATCCGGTCCTCAAACTCATCACGGTAGGTGGGAGACTTCGGAGAGCAGAATCCCTCGACTATGAAAGCCTCCACCCCATTGTACTTGATCCCAATCATATAATAACTAAACTATTAATTCAACATTATGATGACATGTTACTCCATCCAGGTCCTGAGCGTGTTCTAGCTGGAGATGAGGCGCAAGTACTGGGTTCTGCGCGGCCGCCAAGCAATACGCAAGTATCAGCACCGTTGTCAAACATGCCAAAGATGGAGAGCAAATCCAATCATACCCAAAATGGCAGACCTACCCCCGGCACGACTCAGGTTGTCAAAACCAGCATTTTGGTCCACAGGAATGGATTGTTTTGGACCATTCAATGTGACAATAGGCCGCCGAACAGAGAAAAGATGGGGTTTGATCTTTAAATGCCTCACCACACGTTGTGTGCACATTGAAACTCTTAGTAAACTCGACGTTGACACATTCTTGATGGCATTTAGGAGATTTGTTGCACGCAGAGGAAAACCTTTTGAACTTATCTCTGATTGTGGAACAAATTTCAAGGCTGCTGAGGTAGAACTCAAACGTTCTTTTGAATCTCTGACCCCTACTTTAAAACGGGAGCTGGCCCAGTCACAAGTGCATTTTCAGTTCAATCCCCCATCAGCTCCACATTTTGGTGGTAGCTGGGAACGTGAAATTAAATCCATCAAGTCTGCCCTGAATGTAGCAATGGGGAATCAAACTACGACAGATGTGATCCTAACTACTGTCCTGACAGAGGTTGAGAGTATTCTAAATTCAAAGCCCTTAGGATACATATCCTCCAATGTAGCAGATCTTGACCCAGTGACACCAAACATGCTTTTGATGGGGCGGCCAGATTGCTCCTTACCACAAGCCATCTACTGTGAGAGCGAACTTCTGGGTAAAAGGAAATGGCGCCACAGTCAAATTCTAGCTGACAAGTTTTGGACAGCTTTCATACGCTACTATCTTCCTTCTCAACAAAGTCGTGCAAAATGGAAGGTCGATCAAGAAAACTTAAAACCAGGGCAAGTTGTGTTACTTGTTGACCCTCAGTCCCCTCGTGCGTCATGGTTATTAGGGAAGGTCACCTCAATTCATCCAGGATCAGATGGACGAGTTCGCACTGCCAAAATAAATGTTAAAACCAGAGAATACCTGCGGCCTGTCTCCAGACTGATACCTCTTCCGGAAGTCCCTGATGACGATTGAAAATAGCATATTTGCTGCACAAATATGGGGGCGGCTGTCACAAACTCCAGTAAATAACAGACAATGTAGCAATTCCGCAGGTGTCCACAAGATGGAGGCACCTGGGAGCAGGAGGACACACCCAAACTCTAGAGAGGCTATAAGTAGGCCTTCCTGTTTGTAGTCCATTGTTTTCCCCATTTTATGTTGACCATGCGTCTTTTGTTTCTGCTACAAATGTAAGTACTATTGTTTAAGATTCTTGTGTATTGTTTAATTGTTTACCAGTCTAATATGATGATTATTGACTGAGACATATTTACCCTACTTTACAGAACCATGGCAACTACAAATAAATGTGGGGTATAACAAGCTACAACTGTTTCCTGGTGGTCTGTGTCTCCAGTTCGAACATTGATACACAACAGCGGCCGAGCCCCTCTGTGCACGTGCGTGAGACCCGGTGTGAGACCCACACACGTGTGTTTGGCGCAACGCATTATGGGAGATCATCCACTGCACAGAACCGGGAGGACCAGACGATGCCCAAATACAGGCGAGTTTCCCATAGATCTTTGCGAGTTCCAGGCGACTTCCGCTAATCTTTCAGCCCCCTTGCCGTCACAAAGCGCCACTGAGCACAACCATTCATTTGAATAGAGCGCCATCTTGGATCGCCGGGGCTTGGCAGGTCCCCTGAAGACTGCCCCTCTGCGCTCGGGACTTTTAATCACATTTTAAAGACTTTTTAACCTTGTTTTAATTCATTGTAATAAATTATTTTATTTTTAAGTTTGCTCTGCCCCTTTTTTGGTCACACCACTGCTCTGCCCCAGCTGTTTTAATTCGGTCCATTCCCTCTTGCCTCCATAATCAAAACTCCCCCATTACACTAACATACTGCTGCTAACATGTACAGATGTAATCATACAGCTGCTAATGTACAGAAACTACATATTACTTGCACTAGAATACACAGTACTTTATACTTGCCTCTTATTTTGCCAAATGTAAAAATGTTATACTGCTTTATTATTATGTGAAAGATTTATTTATATTTGTTCTATGATGCTAGAGTAAGATTTAATTAAATTTTAATTAGTATAGCTATTGTATCTTGTTTTGTGTGCTCCTAATTTCTACTGTTCTGTAACTTGTGATGCAACACTGAATTTTCCCCACTGTGGGACGAATAAAGGATTTCTTAATCTCTTAATCTTAATTTGAATATCACATCCGAAGTTATAGATGACTGTAAACTGACACAAAGGCCTAGTGTTTGGATTAACAATAGTACGTCTGGAGCATTTAAGACAGTGGTCCCCAAACTGCAGTCCCCAACCAAAATGATTTTGACACTCCCGGGTTAAAGAGACAGAGAGGCGTGTGATGGTTACATGTTCAGAGCTAACGTTTAATCTGCAATAAAGCACACAAATAAGGGACTTCCGGTTCTGCTAGCGAGAGGAATGGCAGCTTGATTTTGGAACTCCCGACGGTTTCATTTGGAAAACTCCCAAAACGTGCTTTTTTACATTCACGGGTGATATTTGAAAGATGGAAAAGGGAGTGAAGACAAGAAGCAAAACAATGACGAGTATAAACGAAGACAACATCGACAAAGACCATGACAACGAAAGCTGGTCTCCGGGGCTGGGTCTAGTCCACGAGCAGGAGGGTGCACCCGAGCCGTCTCTTAAACACATCCTGAACGAGCTCCGTGATTTCAGGAGAGACAGTAATGAACAATATACGGACATTAAAAACTAAATTAAAAGAGTTCATGAAAGGGTGGATGAAGCAGAAGAAAGGATAGACGAGGTAGAATCCGTGCTAAGCTGCGTCACTGCTAATAAAGAAGCTAGCGGGCCGCCAAGCTAACCTGGAAGCGAGGCTAATAGACGAAGAGAGACTCTCCGTATATATGGGATCCCAGAGGACAAGGAAGGAACAAATATGTTGTTATTCTTGGACGGCTTATTGAAAAAGGCACTTGACTTTCCCGAAGGCCAGTCACTCGGAATCGAAAGAGCACACAGAGCCTTGACTGCTAAATCAAATAGCAGCCCGCAGGCTAAGCCACGGTCTATCGTGGTGAAGTTTGGAAGCTACCGCACAAAAGAAGAAGTCATTAGGCGAGCATGGCAGAAGAAGGAGGTGTTCTGTGACAATTTGCGTTTCTTTGTGGACCACGACTTTCCAATTGAGGTGCTTAAAAAACTTAATGAATATGGAGAAGCTAAACAAGTGCTGAAAGAAAAGCGCATTAAGTTCCAGACTCCCTATCCAGCAAAGATGCGCGTCTTCTATATGATGGAACTCGCCTCTACCAAGACGCAGCAGAAGCAACCAGGGACATGGCATCTCGGGGGCTCCCGGTCAATGTTGTGAAGTCCGTGACCAGCCTGGACCGCGATGAGATTCGGCTGCTATCAACCTGGCAACCCGCTGGTCGAGGGGGCACCCAGAGCGGAGAGAAGCGACAGGCGACACTACAGGACCGAGTCAAGGAAAAACTCCACGAGTACAGAAGGCGCACTGACATGGAAGACTGACTGAGATCAGCTGAGTGTCTGATGTCTGCGTGATTCAATCTACGCGTCTTAAACTTAAATGTCATGGCTATTGAGGTAAGGTAACTATATAGAATTAATGAACATTTTATTTGGATTTGTATCTATTTAAAAAGTTGGGTCAGTTGGACTATTCCGATATTCTTGCGTTAATTGTTCAAACTCTTACTAGTATGAGGACATACTGTAGGGCCCTGCCTCAGCAGCGAGGTGGGTCATGCCCCTATAAGGACCTACATCCAACTAGGTTATGTAGGGCTCATTTGTTACGAGTCTCTGCCTTGGAAACTCCAGTTGTATTTATGTTTACGTGTGATGTTCTTTTGTTCAAGTTAACTGTCTGTTCTTTGGGAGAGAAATTAACAGTGCACACATTTGAAATGGTTATCTATATGTTTTGTGACAATGCTGTCTGTTTCACATTTAATGGATGTTCAAAATATTAAAATAGTATCGTTCAATAAAGGGATCTCCAGTCCAGCCAAGAGGAGTATGATATTATCTAAAGTTAAACGTGAAAAAGCTCAAATAGTAATGCTTCAGGAGACACATCTTTCTGCTTTAGAACATGAGAAGTTGAAAAGAATTTACAAAGGGCAAAGCTTTACAAAGGGGTATTACTCGTCGTATAAAGGTGGACGAAGAAGGGGTGTCATAATCCTAATATCACAAAAGATACCTTTTGAATATGTATCAGAAATATCGGATAAAGAAGGTAGATATATAGTAGTCAATGGTAAAATAACTTTGTGCAACACTTATGTCCCTCCTGGAAGTAATTTTAGTTTTTACAGAAGACTTTCTGATCTGATGAGTGGAGCGTCAGGAACTGTGATCTGTGGCGGGGATTGGAATCTTCGCTTGGATCCTAAATTAGACTCATCTAAAGATACAATGTCTTCTGCTTTGAACAAAAAGGTGAATAACCTCATGACTGAATTGGGCATACTTGATGGAGGGATTTTTACCCCTCAAACCGGGATTATACATTTTACTCGCATCCACATGATACTTATTCCAGAATAGATTATGTTTTTGTATTCAAAAAGGACCGCCATAGAATAGCTAGCTGCGATATTGGTGCTATTGACCTATCAGATCACGCCCCAATCTTGTGTACATTAAATATTGATGACGCTCCACGAAATACACTGTGGAGGCTTAATTCAAGCGTACTAAACAACCCACAGTTTGTGGCTCAGATGAACGAGGAGATAAAATTGTTTCTAGAAATGAATGATACTGGGGAGGTGGATGTGGTCATGGTGTGGGACGCCCTGAAAGCTGTAATTCGGGGTAAAATTATATCATGGTGTTCACATAAGAAAAAGATCAAACTCCTAGATCTAAACAATAGACTTAAGGATCTAGAAATGCTGCACAAAAGGAAACCGTGTTCAAAACTTTTGGAGGACATTAAAAACACACGTAATGAAATAAACTTGATATATTCACAAGAAGTTGAAAAAAGGCTTGAATTTGCAAAACAGAAATACTACTTGTATCTGGGTTCACCTGCTCGCTGTAGCGGTCCAGCACCTTGCTCAGGTCAAAGGTCAGACGATAGGAGCCGTATCGGGAGGAGGAGGAGAAGGCGGGGGAGGTGGCAAAGCTCTGGAGGAGGCCTGGAGTAACATGACCATTCCAGACTTCCTCCTCACCACCAGGACGCACCAGCGTCATGAACCGGCCCTCTGCGGCGCTCAGGTCTTCAGGAGTCGGTGTCAGACTGAACCAGACCAGACCTGGCCAAGATCTGGTCGGATCTTGGCTTGGATCCCTGAAACCTCCATCCTTCTGGATTCCCTGCAGAGCTGCCAGGTCGGTGCTGTGGCTCAGGTGAGATACGTGCAGCTCTGGTCTGGGGTAAGCGGGGACTGGATACTCATGATCTTTGTTTACTCTGGGCAGATACTTGTTGCTTGGATTTTGCTGATATAACTCAGGCAAAGTCAGGTGACCTTCATGTTCTGTGAACGTTTCCACCTCAGCTGCTTCTTCAGACCTGTCAGAGAACACAACTGTCAGTTACAGTCTCATCTTTGGGTCTATTCCCCTAAAACCCTCCAAATACTTAAATATATCTTATTTGCAGATGATAAACATAGTTTTGCATCAGATAATTTTGAACATGGCAAATATGATTTTGATAAAGATGTGGACCCAGAATCTAATTTGTTTAAAGACTTAAAGGACTCTTGTATATATTACACAGAAGAGCAACTGGGTGAAGTACAAACTGAGGAAACATTTTCTTTAATTAATTTTAATTGTAGAAGTTTACCAAAGAACTTCACAAAAAGAGCACTTTTTGGACCTGGATCAACAAAGGGAAGGAGGCTGATTTGAAAATGAAAGGCTAGGATTTATATTTCAACAGCAGAACAACTACAATTGGAGGTGGAGTAGCTCTCTACATTGACAATGTTTTAAAATGTAAACCAGTGAAATGTATGACTCGTGTTGTTGATGATTTGTTGGAAAGTATTGTCGTAGAAATAGAACTAGAAAAAAGCAGAAACATTATTGTTGCATGTGTGTACATTTGTTGTCCTCCTGGTTTCATGACAACAAATTATCTTTAAACAAAGTTTATGGTGTTTGGTAAAAAAAAGAATAACTGAAGTCATTTTCTATTAACAGCACAATTATTGAAAGAGTGAATGAAATAAAATTCCTTTGTGTAGTGTTGGATGATGTTTAACATGGAAACCACATATAATGTATGTGAAAAACAAATAATTTATTTTGACCAAATCTACATACATGTTACCCGTCCACATATTGTAAGTGTTATATTGTTCTATGATTTACTGTGTAGAAGTGTGGGGCAACACTTCAGTATTAAGCCGTTATCCTTACTACAGATAAGAGCTGTCCGTATAATACACAGAGCTGCATTTCCAGAACATACAATCTCACTATTCATTAGGTCCAAATTGTTGGCATTAAAAAATATAATAGCATTGCAGACATTATTAGTCATGTTTAAAGCTAGAAATGCAGCACTACCAGAAAATATACAAACACTGTTTATTGTTACGTCAGAAAATGAAAACTTCAGGAGAAGATTTGACTTTAAACATCAGTTTGCACAAACAACATTAAAACAAATGTGTTTATCTGTCAAAGATGTCAAACTGTGGAATGCTCAGGAAAATGAATAAAAACGTTGGAGTAATTGGATGTATTTGTTTAAATGCAAATGTATCCAAATTTGTTGCAATGCATTTGCATATAACATATGTAAATGTTTTGTTGTGTTTTGTTGGTGAAACTGGTCCCATGTGAAAGGCCAGGGTAGATATGATTTTGAAAAGGGGCAGAAAAACATTGTATTCTTCTTTTCTGCTCCTTTCCTTCATGTAAATGTTTAAGTTATGTATGTAGATATTATTATGTGAACAAGTGAACAAAGCGTTTTCATGAAAGGAACAAATAAATAAATACAAATACAAAAATAATGAACTGTGTCAAAGCATTAGTTGGAACTCAAAAGTGTCAGTTTATTTTGTTTGAACCACTTACTATCTCTGAATCTCAGTAAAAGTAAAATGATGATATTCGGCAACTGTATTCCCACTGTTCAGGATGTTATACAGAGAGAGGGCGCGGTTTTAGAGCAGGTTCATGAAATCAAATTCCTTGGGGTCATTATAGATGAAAAAATCACACATTAAATATTTAGCCACTAAGATCTCACGAAGCATTTCAGAAATAGAAAAAGCTAAGCATACTTTAAACATCAGAGCTCTACACACATTTTACTGCTCTCTGATTTTGCCCTTTTTAAATAACTGCACTGTAGTATGGAGTAGTACCTATAAAATACTATAAAGCCATTAGTGGTATTGCAAAAAAAGAGCTGTGAGATTAATTCATAGAACTGGGTTTTTGGACCACACAAACTCTTTATTTTTACAATCAAAAATAATGAAGTTTTGCGACATTTTTGAGTTTCAGTCAGTACAGATGTTATACAAAGGTACAAACTGTTACCAAACCAAATACAAAGTAGATTTCTAGAGCGTATTGAATGTTATGGATTACGAGGGGAATTAAACTTTAAATCACAGAAACATAGGACAACTTTGAAAAGTTTTAGCCTGACAGTTAATGGCGTACAACTGTGGAACCAATTAGAGACGGAGATGAAGCAATGTCCAAATATCAACTGATTTAAATATAAATACAAACAAAAGATTTTTGAAAAATATATAGAAATATTGGGTCACCACTAGGAGTGTTGCTGCTTGAAACAGAAGTCATTTCTAATGTTCAAATTACAGTAAGGAGAATCAGAGCGAGCTGTGCAGCCGTTGAGAGGCACCAAGGGATCACAAATCTTTTAATGCATCACACAGTATATAAAGATAAGAACATTTAAAGTCACATTTACAAAAGCACTGATAGGGCAGCTGGGTCTGTTGGTGAGGAGTCACTGCCGTCTCCAACTGGCTTTACACCCTGGCTTTTTACCGCACAACACTACATAGGGTCACTGCCTACTTTGTAAAGAATACTCTGCTTTCTAGCGGCAACATCTCTTCTTTGAGCGAAATGGGATTAATCAGTACTCAGTGTCAGTATATCTAAAATAATTATATGGTAATATTGTGTCTCTTGCTTTATGGAGATCTGTCTTAAAGAAGCTATACCCAATTTATTTTCTAATAAGTTGTATATAAATCCGTAATTTAATTGAAAACTTGAGCTCATTGATTCAGCTGTGTGTGAATTCAGGCCGTAAAAACTGCTGAGTAGAAACATGGAGCTTTCGCAAAAGTTCACTGTGGTAGACCCGGCTGCTGCTGCCCAGATCTACAGGCTGCTCTCATCCTCAGCTCATCAGACCAGCAACGCCCACATCCAGTCAACCAATAACCACCAGGACAGCAAGTTAAAAGCCGGAGACGCCCACTTCCCGGCCTTCTCAAATCTGCAAGCCTCCGCCGCCCCACCTCCTCCTTTTCTCACCAAAGCGTGCTTGCCTACTGCCTCTGCCGCCACCAGTGCCTAGGCCCCGAGGGGGACTATGCGTGCGAGCAAGCGCCGCGCTCAACAGCATCGCTCCCGGGCCTAGGGCGCCAAACATGCTTGAGCTAATAACTTCTAACTGCATTTCCCTTGTGGGTCTCTCCAAAGTGAATTAGCATGACGCCCGCTCTCCTCCAATCAGCGGCGCTGTTACAAACAGGCTGCATCCTCTAGCTTCTACAGCGCAGGTAAACCATGGATCTAGATGTAAACACAGCAGCATGTTAGCATAAGTGGCTATAACTCCTCTGGCTGTAACTGCAGACACAGCAAAACAACCCAAACCACACAACAGTGAGGAAGAGAAGAGGGAACTAAAGTGAAAAAATGATCAAAGAAGAAATCAAGCCCGGGTGAACATACCTATCGTAGCTTACATCGTATCCTCTGGAGAGACCTGCTTCTGTTGATAAGATGAACAGTTCAAATTAGTGTTACTGAAACTGCCTTGAAACATTAACTTATTTTGTCCTTTTGAGCTTTATCCTAAATCTATTTACACCAATTCAGGAGAATGCTGTAGGAATTACAACAGTATCTATGACTCCTCCCCCTAACCCTGTCTGAGGCTCCTCCCCCACAAGTCTTGAACATAAAACTATAATAATATCTGGAAGGTATATCCAAGGCTGCAGACTATTGTATTGATGGGTGAGCTCAGTGGTGCAGGTAAACGTTTTTTTATGCATCGGTTTTTTATGCATCGGTTTTATACAGCGCTTTTTTGGACACTCAAAGACACTTTACATGTCATTATTCTTTCACTCCAAACACGGCGGTGATAAACTACTACTGTAGCCACAGCTGCCCTGGGGCACTCTGACAGAAGCGAGGCCACCTCCGACCACCACCAACCATTCACACACACACCAGACTCATTCTAGGCAATGGGGGTAAACTGTCTTGCCTAAGGACACAACAGCAATTTGGCACTTTGCAGCCGCAGCCGCCCCACTGTGGCTGGTGTTCCCAGAGGTTAAGTGTCTTGCCCAAGGACACAACAACAGCAGACAGTGGGAGTCGATGGTGAAAGTCGGGCTCGAACCCACGACCCTCTGGCTCAAAGGCCAATGCTCTACCAACTGAGCTACTGTCGCCCTGTTTTGTGATGTAACTTTGTGATGTAAAATGACTGGCCCTGCTCACTGTGAGCACGAGCACAGGCTTTTGAAAGAAACACTTATTATGGACTGTTTCTGATTTAAAGGTCCCGTATTACACTTTTTGACTTTTCGCTGGTTTAAACATGATTACAGTGTCATTTGGCCTCATACACATGCCCAGAGTAGTTTTTTCATTGATTCCGTCAAGTTTTAGTTAGAGAGATCATTCTCTTTCATTCTTGAGGGGCACAGAAATGAGCTGATTCAAATTGTGACGTGGCACAATCCCTGACGTCAAAAGGAGATGATTGACAGCGAGAAAAAACTGAACCAGCGACTCAGCGCCGTCTATGGTCAGCTGCAGCTTCTCTCTGAGTCCAGCGTGTGGTCCATAGACTGTAAATACATCAGTGCTGTTCTGTGTTAGCTTCATGTGACTTGAAAATGTGTTTCTGGTGTAAATTTGTGACGAGAGTATTCGGCCTGAAGACGGAGAATGGGGATCAACTTTGTTCACGGGGATATCTGCTTCGTATCCGCGGGTCTGAAATCCGCGATGAAACTTGCAGACGCTTTTTTGCGAGTGATGGTGACACCCCCAAAGACTGTTTTGGAACTACTGTTACCTTGAAACGGGACCTACTCTTGTGTTGACCTTAAAGTAGTACTAGAATTTAATATGCTGCTATCCAGAATATATAACTACAATATGTGTTTATAATATTTCGGGTGTTCATTTTGATATGTTCAGATGAATTATGTTAAAAAAACAGCTTTGAAGTCGGACCTTTTCACAAACGCTAGGGGGAGCCAAAATGGCGGCGATGACGTAGGAGAAGGACCTCTCACAGCAGCAGCAGCGGTCTGGGCTGAATCTGTAGGAGGTTTCACTGTCATCTGAACAAGGTATAGTAAGTAGTAAGTAAGTAAGTAAGTATTTATTTATATACCGCCTTTTCACTGCAGATCTGAGTCTCAAAGCGGTTTACAATTGTTAATAAACATATTATACGGTATAAACATATTTTCATCAGTTTTGTACATAATAGTGCACAACTCTTTTAACCTTTTAGCCTTATTTGTGAGATTCAAGCAAACTAGTGTTGGGCAAGTTAGCTAACTCTACTTGATATCATAAAACATGCTAACAAGGCTAATATTCGTTTTTACATTCAGTCTCACTTTGGTTGTCTTAGATTTATTTACCACAATGTACATTGCCGCCATTTGGCGCCCCCGAGCGTTTCTATGCGGAAGTGAAAAAGTGCCACTTCAAAGCAGTTTTTTTAACATAATTTATCTGAACATGTCAAAATGAACACCCGAAATATTATAAACACATATCGTAGTTATATATTCTGGATAGCAGCATATTAAATTCTAGTACTACTTTAAAGTGATGACTGCCACAGACTTACTGAACAAAAATGCAGCAAAATGTCTGTCTCTTATTGGCGATAGATGCCGTTTACCTGACTACTCTTTACCGCAGTTAACTTATAAAGTGGGCAACCAAATAAATAACGAAAGTGTACCTCCTCGAGCTGAAAGAAGGAAAAGGCCACTCCCTGAGACGTTTTTAGCATCTACTAGTTGCCAAATGACAGTGCAGGGGTTAGCAGATAAATTAAATTTGGTGCGACAGTACTCGACTTGATGTTGATATGTGGTATGAGGATTTTTGTACACTAATAAGAGAGGAAATAAATTCATATCAAAAGTGTAGGTTTAGCAAAAATCACAATAATTCAAGAGGGGGTATAAAACCTTTTTGGAATGGCCATCTAAAAATTTTATGGAATGAACGAAACTGCTGTTTTTCCAAGTGTCAAGTACTTCAAAATAAACATCACTTGAGGGAAAATTATAAGCAAAAACAATCCCTCTTTGACAAAGAATCTACAAAAGACGGTTTTAAAAGGGTCAAGCACTAAGGCTTGATCATTTACAAACAAGCAATCCTCAGCAGTTTTGGAAAGAGGAGATTAATAAATTGGGACCACAAAGAATCAAGATAATTCCAATGGAAATAATCATGGATAATGGTGCTGTAGAGTTAAGAAAACAGCAAGTTATGAAACAATGGGAACAAGATTTTTCTCATTTATATTCAGGACTCACAAATACAGATGACTTTGATTCTGTGTTCTATGATCTCTCTGTTAGGGTAAAAGAGCAGCTTGAGTTAGTTATGTGTAATCATAGTTACCAATCAAATATATTTCTTAATTTTGATATATCCCAGGAGGAAGTGTGCAATGCCCTCAGTAAGGCCCAGTTGGGGAAGGCCATGGGAGTGGAGGAAATTCCAAATGAAGTGCTAAAGTCCCCACATCTGAGGAACCTGCTTTTTGGTCTATTTACTTTCTGCTTTGAAAATGGGATCGTACCCTCCACATGGTACAAGGCAATAATTAAACCTATCCCCAAATCGGTTAAAGATGATCCCAGAGCACCTCTTCACTAGAGGGGAATCAGCCTTTTAAGTACTGTCTATAAAATCTATGCTAGTATTCTAAATACTAGATTGAGTTACTTTTAGGAAATTATGCACTGTTTGGTAGATGAACAAAATGGATTTCGAAAACACAGGGTGTGTATTGATCATATTTTTGCTGTCTCAATAATCATTAGAACTAGACTAACTGAAAATAAACCTACTTTTGTTTGTTTTGTGGACTTTAAAAAGGCGTTTGACTGGGTGAATAGAGATTTGATATGTCTGAAGCTTCTCCAGGCTGGGGTAGATGGAAAGTTCTATCAGGCATTTACAGTAAGTCCTTGTACGCAGACTGTGTGGGATCTGTGCAGGTGAATGTTGAACAGACGGGGTGGTTCCGCATCCCCTTTGGGGTAAAACAAGGAGATGTTTTGTCCCCAAGCTTGTTCTCTTTATTTAAAAATGATTTGGCTCTTGAAATCCAGCAGTTAAATTTAGGGGTTCACCTGGACAGTAGGACTGTGGGTTTGCTGCTCTACGCTGATGATGTAGCTCTGTTGGCTGAGACAGAAGAGGACTTACAGATCCTGTTAAAAAAAATGGTGTTCTAGATGGAGACTTGCCATAAATCAAGCAAAAACTCAAATAATGCATTTTAGGAAAAGAGCTACTCCTCGTAGTATCAACATTTTTACATTTGGTAATGTCAATCTTGAGTATGCAGTCTGAAGAAGATGAGCCAAGTCTGGGATCGCGTTTTTAATTCAGACAGAAGACATGTTTTATTGTCGATGGTAGAGACAGCACGAACAACACGAACAACAGAATGCAAGTGTATTATACAGAGCGGAGGCATGGAGACCTCCAATCAGCAGCTGCCACGGTGCCATGTAGCTTGGCCTTCAGATAGATAAAACAAGGGAAAAGTACTGGATTCTGCACATTGATAGAATGATGAGTTTAACTTTAACAAAAGTTGCTTCAAAGTGTTATGAAATCTCACAAGTCCAATATAGATATCAAGGATTTGTGTTTGATGAATTTCTGAACTTAAAAAAAGGAGTGAAACACCTCTGCTTCATCCAGCAGAGCTCGGGGTTCTGTAATAAACAAACTAAAGTATTGTAAAGCTCTTGGTTATGGTACATACTCTCGGTTGTATGTGGCATGTGTGTCTCCTGTGTTGAACTATGCTGCTGGTGTGTGGCCACGCAGTGTTCAACCTTGGATGCTGTTGAAAACCGAGCAATCCGTTGTTTTCTCGGGGTACATAAGTTTGTTCCTGTTTTGGCAGCGCAGGGGGACATGGGCCGGGTTCCTGGTACAGTTCAAAGGAAATGTGAAATGCTTAGGTTATGGAATAGAATAATGAATCTGTCTGATAGGTTAACAAAGAAAATCTTTATTTGGAGTAAAGCTATGTCCCCCTGGGCTGCTGAGGTTCGTGCTGTATTTGCTGAGGTCCATCTCCAGTATGTATTTCATAATAATCTGCCCTGCAATGTCAACAAAATTAGAACAAAATTAATGTCAACATTTGAAGAAGGCATTCTGGCAAAACCAAAGTTAAGAAAATACAGTACATACAAATGAAGGACGTATATGAAGCAGAATTCTATGTCAAAGCAAATCTGACAAGAAATCAAAGTTCTCTGCTTTCTCAGATGCGAACTGGAACCCTCCCACTGGCCTTAGAAACAGGAAGGTTTACTCAGACTCCCGAAGAAGACCAACTGTGTAAACTTTGTCACTGAGGAGAGGTGGAAAATGAAACACATTTTGTTTTTACTACTGTCTGTGTGTTTGAATTGGCTACTTATGTTGGTAAAGCCTGGAAGCGCCGGCAATCCTGTTTATTCAAATTAGTTATTTTTGTATCCTGTCAGTCATCTGATTCTGTTCTTTGTATTGATGTCTTATAACCCCATGAAAGGGCTGGGCATACAGTTGTGTGCAAGACACAATAATAAATGAATATTCATTCATTCATTCATACTCCAAAGCTGATCCAGAAACCTGGTGTTATTTCCAACATAAACTACGCTAACAGGGGCCCCTGTGAGTACAGTGCAACTAACTCGCCGTTTGTCGCTGTGAACTAAATAATTTAGGTCTGATTCTGGATCAAGGACATAGGGCTCTATGTGACGGGTTGCCATAGTTGGAAAAAGTTTATTCTCAGGTGTGAAATGACTAACTTCTATACACAAAATGTCTATAATTTGACATGTTTTGAGTGTTGTATGGTGTATCACCCAAATTGTTATCACACATGTGCATAGGATGGACTGTGAAAAATTAAGAAAAGCGAAATATGGAACCTTTTAATAAGTAAAGCAGACCCCGTTGCTTCGGGTTTCAATGCAAAATCTATGGTGGCGCGCGTGCGACCGTCACAACGCACAGACCGCTCGGTTCGCACGAACGGACTGTTCAGTAGAGACGCACGGACTTGGCGGGAAAGTGAAAAAGGAGGAGCAGGAGCGAAAAATCGACGCCCACAGGAGATGGATTCTGCTCATCCTTTCCTTGGGACGTTCGTGCGACAACCAATCAGAGAGCAGCAAAGTGGTCACGGGGACATTAGCGGACTGAGAGAGCAGACTGAAAATTCTCGTAAACAGCCAAAACAGGACCCACACCAGACTTCACCAGAACTCAAACCAGGGTTGACAATGGGGGACTCTGTGCTTGTGAAAATATGCATTGTCATGCTCCCGTGACCTTATGCAACTGCTTCGAGTGTGTTCACCGATGGGGAAATTCCGTTTAATAATATAAAAAAACGTATGGCGCACCTCCGTGAACACATACTACTGTTGTATAAAGCCCATGGAATGTCTGAGCAAAGACACGCTGCAAAGCTGCATATTGGAGAAGATCTGTACACAAGAAGCCGCTAGCATAGCTCTGTTAGCATCAGAGCCGACCGGCTACTTCCGGTACTTCCGGCTCGCGTCAGGACGTTCTGGTGTGAAGTCCTCTACGTCTGAAAACTGGAGAATGCGCGTCTGGTGAGCGGGGCATCCACGTTTCAGCGTTGGCGGTCTGAAAGCACTAAGGGCCTTGCGGGTGACCAACGCGTTGCGCAAGTGACGTCACGTCACCTCCGTAAGCTCCGCGCTGCGCGCCACCGTGCCACCTTAAGCTGGTCTCACTCTGGTCTCGCTCTGGTCTTTTAAACCTGTTCATTAAGAAATAATTTGGTTGAAAACTTACTCTTAAACCATCAAACAAACTACAGCATTCAAATCACACTATTAACCAAAGTAGACCAGGTTCAGGTTCACGTCCAGGACCAGGACCAGGACCAGGACCAGGACCAAGACACCAAAGAGAGACTAGAGAGAGAGATAGACACAGAGACCAGCGAGAGACCAGAGAGACCAGAGGGAGAGACCAGAGAGAGAGACCAGAGAGAGACCAGACCAAAGAGAGACCAGAGAGAGAGACCAGAAGCCAGACAGAGAGACCAGAGAGAGACCAGAGAGAGAAACCAGGGAGAGAGACCAGAGAGAGAGACCAGAGAGAGACCAGAGAGACCAGAGCGAGACCAGAGAGACCAGAGAGAGACCAGAGAGAGATCAGAGCGAGACCAAAGAGAGACCAGAGCGAGACCAGAGAGAGACCAAAGAGAGAGACCAGAGAGAGACCAGAGAGAGAGACCAGAGAGAGACCAGAGAGAGACCAGAGGGAGACCAGAGAGAGACTAGAGAGAGACTAGAGAGAGACCAGAGAGACCAGAGCGAGAGACCAGAGAGAGACCAGAGGGAGACCAGAGGGAGACCAGAGAGAGACCAGAGAGACCAGAGAGACCAGAGCGAGACCAGAGAGATCAGAGCGAGACCAGAGAGAGACCAGAGAGAGACCAGAGAGAGACCAAAGAGAGAGACCAGAGAGAGACCAGAGACAGAGAGACCAGAGAGAGACCAGAGAGAGACCAGAGAGAGACCAGAGAGAGACTAGAGAGAGACTAGAGAGAGACCAGAGAGACCAGAGCGAGACCAGAGAGACCAGAGAGAGACCAGAGAGATCAGAGCGAGACCAGAGAGAGACCAGAGCGAGACCAGAGAGAGACCAAAGAGAGAGACCAGAGAGAGACCAGAGAGAGAGACCAGAGAGAGACCAGAGAGAGACCAGAGAGAGGGACCAGAAAGAGAGACCAGAAAGAGAGACCAGAGAGAGACCAGAGAGAGACCAGAGAGAGAGACCAGAGAGAGACCAGAGAGAGACCAGAGAGAGACCAGAGAGACCAGAGAGAGACCAGAGAGATCAGAGCGAGACCAGAGAGAGACCAGAGCGAGACCAGAGCAAGACCAGAGAGAGACCAAAGAGAGAGACCAGAGAGAGACCAGAGAGAGAGACCAGAGAGAGACCAGAGAGAGACCAGAGAGAGAGACCAGAGAGAGACCAGAGAGAGACCAGAGAGAGACCAGAGAGAGACCAGAGAGAGACTAGAGAGAGACCAGAGAGAGACCAGAGAGAGACCAGAGCAGAGTTTGTCATTAACCAAATGAGCAGAGTTCATGTTTCTCTGATTCAAATGTAAAGAAATCTTTTCATCATTTATCATTAAACACAGTCTTAGTTTAGTTTAGTTAAAACTCAGGTCTGTGACTTTAAAGCTGGGGTCTGTGACTTTAAAGCTGGGGTCTGTGGCTTTAAAGCTGGGGTCTGTGACTTTAAAGGAGCAGTATGTAAAAATCTTGCCAAAAGTGTTACTGCAGTCACAGTCAATATTTTGTAGTCCTCTCCCTCTCTCCCTGACTCAGGTTGCCAGATACACACCAAATCCAGCAGAAAACACAGGGGATTATTTTATCAGTGTTGTGTCTGTCTCTGACATTGCCATTATTTGGACATTTGAGATCAGAAAAACAAAAACAAAATAAAAGCAATGTAATTATGCACAGATTATGCAAAATAAATAAGCGATTGATGTGCAAAATAGGAGTGGGAAGAATGGATGTTGGAACATATTTCCTCCAGAGGATATACCCCCTTTATTTATTCCCTATTTTTTAGACAAACATGTATAAGTCCCACATCAAATAGAGACTAACATTATTTTAATTGGGGTACATGTGGTCTCAAATGATTCTTTTTACAAATAAGCTATAATCTGCAAAAAGCATCATGATCTTAGTCTTTGACGGTAATTTGAGCGGTCTGTCTTAGAATGTGGTACTACGTGATTAAAGTCATGCAGACCTCGGACTCGGACCCGGGTTGTCGGCTTCTGAGCGCAATGGCTAATCCACTACAGCACTATTGCACGTGCGATGATATTGGTAGATGCAGAACTGAATCAAAGCAGCAAGTTTTGCATCACACGAAAATTTTATGCACTGGCAACCCGATCACGGACTTCTGTGGGACTTCCTGATTCGCGAAACGGCGGAGGGCAGGACATCAGAATGAAAACAATAACTACTTTTACCGGTCGTAAAACTAATTTTGAGATTCAAATATCTCTGAACTTCTGTTGTAAGTTAAAGATGTATTTGAAAAGAGCATGATCTAATATTGCCTTTGGAAATATTGGGGCCATTTAATGATGACTTGACATGAAAATATTACCTACTGCTACTTTAAAGCCGGGGTCTGTGACTTTAAAGCTGGGGTCAGTCGTGGATATCCACACGGGCAGTGGTCAGTACTTTAAACGCGTCACTTAAGAGGATTAGAAGCATTGCTAACCACAGTGGATGAAAGCATCATAAATAGTTAAGACAGAGGAGCGTGTTTTTACAGTGTTTATTTAAAACATTAAAACATGCTCTACAGGAGTATTGTAGAAAACACTACAGTACTGTAGTACTAGTAGCAGTACTACAGTACTGTAGTGCTAGTAGCAGTACTACAGTACTGTAGTGCTAGTAGCAGTACTACAGTACTGTAGTTCTAGTGGAACACCGTCTTGTCCGGTGTAAACGGCCAAGGTGAATCCAAGATGGCGAATCTGAAGGGGCGGGGCTCCACGAGAGTTCAAAGGCGAGAGGCGGGGCCAGGGTCTGTCGCCTACACACAAACAACAACAAACAAACAGAGGTTTAGGGGAAAGTGGGCGTGTGTCTGTTACCGTGACAATATGAGTGCCTGTCTGTTACCGGGACGATGTGGGTGTGTGTCTGTTACCGGGACAATGTGGGCGTGTCTCTGTTACCGGGAAGATGTGGGCGTGTGTCTGTTACCGGGACGATGTGGGCATGTGTCTGTTACTGTGACGGTGTGGGCGTGTGTCTGTCACCGTGACTATGTGGGCGTGTGTCTGTTACCGTGACGATATGAGTGCCTGTCTGTAACCAGGACAATGTGGGCGTGTGTCTGTTACCATGACGATATGGGTGTGTGTCTGTTACCGGGAGGATATGGGGGCGTGTGTCTGTTACCGGGAGGATGTGGGCGTGTGTCTGTTACCGGGAGGATGTGGGCGTGTGTCTGTTTCCGGGACGATGTGGCCGTGCGTCTGTTACCGGGACGATGTGGAGTGTGTCTGTTACCGGGACGATGTGGGCGTGTGTTTGTTACCGTGACGATTTGGGCGTGTGTCTGTTACCGGGACGATGTGGGCATGTGTCTGTTATTATTATTATTATTAACCTTTATTTAACCAGGAAAGTCCCATTGAGATTAAAAACCTCTTTTTCAAGGGAGTCCTGGCCAAGAGGCAGCAAAATATACAGTTTAAGAATTACATACACATTACATACTCATTATAAAAAACATTTACAAGAGGTTGACTCAAGTGCTCTCACTTTGGACTTAAATTCGTTCAATGGAATAAGATCAGTTATTTTCCAGTCTTTTTGCAACGTGTTCCATGTAGAAGGAGCAGAGTGAACAAATGCCCTTTTTCCCAGTTCTGAACGGGCAAATGGAACAGTGAGCAACAAATGATCATTTGAACGCAAACTATAAGAGCCAACGCTCCTCCGTGAGATTAGGTTACAGATGTAAGAGGGCAGTAGACCAAGCATGGCTTTATAAATAAAAGTATACCAATGACTCTGCCTCCTGGAGGACAAAGAAGGCCATCCCACTCGAGAATACAGCTCACAATGATGGGTCAAGGCCCTACAGTTAGTAATGAACCTCAGAGAAGCATGATATACAGTGTCAATCTTGTGTAGACATTGAGCAGACGCGTTCATGTACAGCAGGTCTCCATAGTCTAAAATAGATACAAATGTTGCAGTGACAAGCTGCTTTTTTGCTTTAAAAGAAAAACAAAATTTATTTCGAAAGAAAAAGCCCAATTTGAGTTTAAGTTTTTTCACAAGGTTGTCTATGTGGGGCTTGAAATTCAGGGAGTCATCAAGCAATATACCAAGGTATTTGTAAGTGTGAACCACCTCTATGACTTTTCCTTCAAAAGTGGACACTGAGGGGATCGTTTGAGAAACCTTCTTAGTATTTGAAAATAACATTAGTTTAGTCTTTTCAGCGTTGAGGACCAGTTTTAGCTGCAGAAGTGTGTGTTGGACCACATCAAAAGCTTTCTGCAGAGATTCTACAGCTTTAACAGGGTTAATTCCAAAACAGTAAATTATTGTGTCATCAGCGTAAAAATGCATATTAGCGTCAGACACATTTTGTCCCAATTCATTAATATACATGATGAACAGAAGGGGTCCTAATATTGAACCCTGTGGCACCCCCTTGTGGACATTCAAAAATTCAGAACACAGGCCCTCACATTTAATACACTGGGTCCTGTGACTCAGATAATTTGCGAACCAGGAAACAACATGATTAGACAGTCCCAAACAAAGAAGCCTATGCTTTAAAATAGCATGATCCACAGTGTCAAAAGCCTTTGACAGATCAATAAAAAGGGAAGCACAATATTGCTTTTTATCAAGAGCAACAAGTATGTCATTTATCACTTTTGTAGCAGCTGTGATGGTACTGTGCTTTTTCCTGAAGCCGGATTGCAGTTTAGAGAGAAGTTCATTAGAGTGCAGGAACTCTTTGAGTTGATCACAAACAAGAGATTCAAGAACTTTTGACAATACACACAAATTTGATATTGGCCTGTAGTTACTTAAAACAGCTGGGTCACCTCCTTTTAGTAAAGGGGTAACAAAAGCAGACTTCCAAACAAGTGGGATTTCTTTGCTTTGAATTGAAAGATTAAAAAGGACCGTAAGAGGCTGTGCTACATAGTCAGCTGCTATTTTCAAGAAGTAGGGCTCTATCAAGTCTGGTCCGGGCGTTTTTCTTCGGTCTAGTGCTTTGAGAGCTTTATGCACTTCCTGCACAGTAAAAGGAACAAAATTAAAACGCTCTCCAGAAGACATTGGAGATTCTGTGCAGGGAGTCACAGGGGCTGCTCCTGAGAAGTCAAACAAAGAACCAGAAGCTACAAAATGCTCGTTAAAGCTATTTAAGACCTCAGTCCTATCATACACAGGGACAGAGTCTTTTAAGACACATTTTGGAAAAGCATGAGGTCTTCTGTTTACAGATAGAGACTTTATCACTTTCCAAAATTTCTGTGGGTTGTTGAGGTTTTCTGTTGTGACAGATAAGTAATATTCTGATTTAGCCTTTTTGATAAGAGAAGTACATTTATTTCTTAAATGCCTGAAATTAGACCAGTCAGATGGAGAATCACATTTCCTGGCTTTGGCCCATGCCACATTGCGTTGATGGATGGACTCTGACAATTCTGGGGAAAACCAAGGGTTCTCTCGTCCCTTGATTCTGAATTTCCGGATTGGAGCATGTTTATTTACAATCTTCATAAAACTTTCCTTGAAGTATGTCCAAGCCAGCTCCACATCTGGCAGCAGGCTCAATTGCCCCCAATTGACCAAAGACAAATCATGATGATACGCTTGTTCATTGAATAATTTTATATTTCTCTTGCAAATAATATGTGGTTTGCATTTGGGGATTTTAGTGTTCCTACAAGTAGCAACAACACAATGATCGCTCAAATCATTGCAGAACACACCCAATGTTGAGAATTTATGAGGGACATTTGTTAGGACTAAATCAATCAAAGTAGACTTATCAGGACTCTTCACATTTGGCCTTGTAGGTAGGTTGACCAACTGGCTAAGATTAATAGAGTCACAGAAAGATTTAAATTCACCAGAAGCTGTATTCAGCCAGTCCCAATTCAAGTCTCCGGCCAATAAGAGTTCATTATAATTTAATTTGGACAAAAGACGCTGTAAGGTTGATAATGCTTCCTTGGTGGCAGATGGAGGCCTGTAGCACCCCACGACAGTTATAGAGAGGGATTTAACTATTTCCATATTTAAAGCCAAAAACTCAATTTGCTTAAGCCTGGTTCACACGAGACGATTTTAAAATTGTCGGCCGATTTTTCTCCGTGTTAGACCCCACACGGGGAGATTAAAAATCCTGCGTCTAACCACTTTGGTCGTGCAGTGTGTGGTGCGTAGCCACACGGCAAGATCACGCAAGCCACAAACATCACACACGAACCGACACCCCCCCCCCCGAGCATTCCCAGGTCAGACGGAAATCTCACAAAATCTCTCGAGATCAAGCGTGACTTCAGAGTAAACAGTCATGGCGGACGAAGAGGATGCAGTGGCGATAGTGTGCAGTTTGTTGTTAACAGAGAAGACACGTAATCCAAAGAAAAGGCAATGGTCAAAGCCATGCTGCTGTGTTTTGGTTTTTTTCCGGTGTTTCCTCACCGGCTTGTCACCTCGTCTTCTTAATGGCTACACGCCGTAGTCATGGCAACGCGCTCGCTTGTCCTCGGAGGACACCACACACGACAAGAAATCGGGCCAAAACAATCCAACATGTTGGATATCCCCGATTTGAGATCGGGAGCAGTCCCGATGTCCTTCCGAGCGACGAGTGCAGTCTTAACACACCACACACGGCAGGATAATCTGTAAGATTTTGTTACGGAAATCGGAGCGTTTCTTAAGATTGTCGTAAGGGGTAAATTGGGTCTAAATCGGCCTAAATATCCTGCCGTGTGAACCAGGCTTTAGTAATAGACTCAGATAGAACAATTGATACATCAAATCTTGATTTTACATAAATGGCTACGCCACCACCTTTCTTGGGCCTATCCGTGCGATAAACATTGTATCCAAGTATGTTGATGTCATCATTAGAAGTAGATTTGGATAGCCATGTTTCAGAAATGATCACAATATCTGCATCTGTCGATTTCACCCAAATTTTGACCATGTCCATCTTGGGTAATAAGCTGCGCACATTAAGATGAACAAATTATAACCCAGGCATAGATTTGAAATCAGCAGGGGTCTGGACACATTTCAGCTCAGGTCCAGGGTTTGGTTGCACATTTCCAGATAAAAGTAAAAGTAGAACCGGGACGATGTGGTTGCTCGGCAGCTCGAAGGCCTCGGCGATGGATTTGCTCATCTGCTCAACACACCACAGAGAGACGGGTCCTGGAGAAACAGACACAGAGCACTGAGACACAGACAGAGAGACACAGACACAGAAAAACAGACAGAGAGACAGCACTGAGACAGAGACACAGAGACAGAGACACAGAGACACAGAGCGACAAAGACACAGAGACAGAGACACATAACTTACTGTAGATAATAGTACAGTGTCCCATGGTCAGAACTGACATCACCTTTAAGCACAAAAGTTACTGAAGCCCTGTTTCCACCAAGCTCTGCTCTGCTCTGCTCTGCTGTCCTGGGTTCGAATCCGATTTCCCCCACCACTATAAACATGTACAATAGGTCTGGCATGCGCCTCCTGTACTGGCAACCCCATTCCCATCTCTGTGAGGAGTGAGAGGATAAATGCCCAAAATTAACAATTGTAAACTGCTTTGTGACTCTGGTCTGTGAAAGGCAGTATATAAATGAAGATTACTTACTTACTCTACTCTACTCTACTCTACTCTACTCTACTCTGCTCTACCCAAATAGTACCAGGTCAGCCCTGGTTCTATCCAGGCCAAACTAAAGTGTTCTAACTGACAGTGATTGGCCCGAGAGCTGATGGAGGCCAAGGTCACCATGGTTACCATTCCCCGAATACTGGTTTGTTGTGGTTGGTTGCTAGGATACGGTACCAGATACTAGAGTGGGATGGAAACAACAGAGTGGAGTCCTGAGGCGTTCCCATGTGAGAGACACAGACCCTCTGGACTTTTGGATTTATTTGAGATGAAGTTTGCAGAGTACAGAAGTGTAAACCTGTGTGTCCTGGGCTCAGGTAAAGGTTTGGGTCACAGTTAGTTGCTGCTGTTTGTAAAAGTGTTTTGGGCCAAATTTCAAAAAGATGAAACGAGCCAAAATAATGTTTATTTGTAGAAAAGATGTGTATATTTTTGTTTGAGTTCCTGTTTATCAGAATAAAAGTGGTGCATATTGTGAAGTGTCCTCTCTCTCTGAACGATGACATCTAGTGGTGACAAAGAGTAGATGCATTAAAGCATTAAAGCTGGGGTACCTGACCCAGGACAGCTCACATACATGTCCAGAGAGACTTGGTCCAGACTCTGATGGTCACAGCCTGAGGACGATGTCCAAAAGCTTCCTGATCTTGAAGCACTGACATCAGCGCCCCCTGGAGGGGGGGACATGCTTTTCAGACTTTTTTCAAATGTCCCGTTCTCATCCCTGAAACAAAGTATAGTTTGTAGAGGCACAATAATGAAGAGGATCCACAGCCTTTATGAGACGAAGAAGAAGAAGAAAGAGGAGGCTTTAGCAGATGATATGAGACAAAGAAGAAGAAGAAAGAGGAGGCTTTAGCAGATGATATGAGACGAAGAAGAAGAAGAAAGAGGAGGCTTTAGCAGATGATATGAGACAAAGAAGAAGAAGAAAGAGGAGGCTTTAGCAGATGATATGAGACAGAGAAGAAGAAGAAAGAGGAGGCTTTAGCAGATGATATGAGACAGAGAAGAAGAAGAAAGAGGAGGCTTTAGCAGATTATATGAGACAGAGAAGAAGAAGAAAGAGGAGGCTTTAGCAGATGCGGCATATGTCGAGCTGAAAAAACAGTATCTACTACAGAAAGACAGAATGTTAATAATGTTAGTACCATTTTATGAGGATTTATTGTTGTTATAATAAACAAATACTGTACATATGTTCACTATGTTGTCATGTATCTTTCCATTCTAACAACCATTTACAGAAAAATATGGCATTTTGTCGATTGTTCGAAATGCGATGAATTAATTTTTAAGCTGTAATTAACTCGATTAAAAATTGTAATCATTGGACAGCCCTAGTATTTTATAAAGATAATTATCTTGTTCTCTGTCAAGAGGAAAACAACAAAAACAAACAAAACTATACAAAATCAGAGGGTGCCTGCCAGAGAGTGACTCTTTTTGCACTACTCTTAAAATAACAACGTGCAGCTTATAACAAAAATAATAATGTGTTTAAGTGGCAGGAGTCCATAGCTGTTCTGAGCTCAGTAGAGTTGTGACTGTTTTCATGAACTGTCCCTGTTCAAATAAACTAAGAAATAAAATAAACACCACATTAAAATACACATCTTTCACACATTAAGAGAAGAACAAAGAATGGTATAATGTTTTTATTTACAGACTGGGGCGATGTGAATAAAACTGCTCACATTTCAACAACATAATCTCTTTAATAAATTGCTGGTTCAAACTACAGTAATCTGACATCACCACACAGACAGATTACAGACTAAAAAGTCTGGGTCCTGCAAGATGGAAAGCAAAAAGACAATGAATGAAGGAACTTGCTTAAGTAGAGTCCCCAAATGGGTCAAGTCAACCCATGACTGGAATCATACATTCACAGGCATTGTATTGCAGAATCATGACATTCCATATGCATCCCATGACAGGCCTCTGTCTAAGATAGCTATTGTTCTGCCAGAGTCACATGAAATCTCATGACTTGAAGAAGTTGTCAGCAGTCTTTAACATTTGAATGCTGCTGACACATTCAACACACATTATGATCCATACATTTATTAATATACTAATAAAACATTTCTTAACAGGCGACATAAAGGGCCTCTGCTGGGAACCCCATGCAGACCATGTGACCACCGACTACAATCTAGAAAGATGGACGTCAGTCATAAAAAAATAAAATGTGTCTCCATAAATATCTTCCCCAGGGAACACCATCAGGGCCACTGTGATCCTCCTGTGTCACAGCACCACCTTTAGCCTGTGTCACAACACCTCAGCACCACCTTTAGCCTGTGTCGCAACACCTCAGCACCACCTTTAGCCTGTGTCACAACACCTCAGCACCACCTTTAGCCTGTGTCGCAACACCTCAGCACCACCTTTAGCCTGTGTCACAACACCTCAGCACCACCTTTAGTCTGTGTCGCAACACCTCAGCACCACCTTTAGTCTGTGTCGCAACACCTCAGCACCACCTTTAACCTGTGTCACAACACCTCAGCACCACCTTTAGCCTGTGTCGCAAAACCTCAGCACCACCTTTAGCCTGTGTCACAACACCTCAGCACCACCTTTAGCCTGTGTCGCAAAACCTCAGCACCACCTTTAGCCTGTGTCGCAACACCTCAGCACCACCTTTAACCTGTGTCGCAACACCTCAGCACCACCTTTAGCCTGTGTTACAACACCTCAGCACCACCTTTAGCCTGTGTCGCAAAACCTCAGCACCACCTTTAACCTGTGTCGCAACACCTCAGCACCACCTTTAGCCTGTGTTACAACACCTCAGCACCACCTTTAACCTGTGTCGCAACACCTCAGCACCACCTTTAACCTGTGTCGCAACACCTCAGCACCACCTTTAGCCTGTGTCGCAACACCTCAGCACCACCTTTAGCCTGTGTCACAACACCTCAGCACCACCTTTAGCCTGTGTCGCAACACCTCAGCACCACCTTTAGCCTGTGTTACAACACCTCAGCACCACCTTTAACCTGTGTCGCAACACCTCAGCACCACCTTTAACCTGTGTCGCAACACCTCAGCACCACCTTTAGCCTGTGTCGCAACACCTCAGCACCACCTTTAGCCTGTGTTACAACACCTCAGCACCACCTTTAGCCTGTGTCACAACACCTCAGCACCACCTTTAGCCTGTGTCGCAACACCTCAGCACCACCTTTAGCCTGTGTTACAACACCTCAGCACCACCTTTAGCCTGTGTCGCAACACCTCAGCACCACCTTTAGCCTGTGTCACAACACCTCAGCACCACCTTTAGCCTGTGTCACAACACCTCAGCACCACCTTTAGCCTGTGTTACAACACCTCAGCACCACCTTTAGCTTGTGTCGCAACACCTCAGCACCACCTTTAGCCTGTGTCGCAACACCTCAGCACCACCTTTAGCCTGTGTCGCAAAACCTCAGCACCACCTTTAGCCTGTGTTACAACACCTCAGCACCACCTTTAGCCTGTGTCACAACACCTCAGCACCACCTTTAGCCTGTGTCACAACACCTCAGCACCACCTTTAGCCTGTGTTACAACACCTCAGCACCACCTTTAGCCTGTGTCGCAACACCTCAGCACCACCTTTAACCTGTGTCTCAACACCTCAGCACCACCTTTAACCTGTGTCTCAACACCTCAGCACCACCTTTAGCCTGTGTTACAACACCTCAGCACCACCTTTAGCCTGTGTCGCAACACCTCAGCACCACCTTTAACCTGTGTCTCAACACCTCAGCACCACCTTTAACCTGTGTCTCAACACCTCAGCACCACCTTTAGCCTGTGTCGCAACACCTCAGCACCACCTTTAACCTGTGTCTCAACACCTCAGCACCACCTTTAACCTGTGTCTCAACACCTCAGCACCACCTTTAACCTGTGTCTCAACACCTCAGCACCACCTTTAACCTGTGTCTCAACACCTCAGCACCACCTTTAACCTGTGTCGCAACACCTCAGCACCACCTTTAGCCTGTGTCTCAACACCTCAGCACCACCATGGCCAGCGACCGTGCCGTGGCTGTACGGACTTAGGATTGCAGCGCTCTTTTTGATATTAAAGCGTGTATGGAGCGCCGCTTCAATGACTGGGGCAACTACAGGAAAACTTTTCCTCCCCGGTTCACCTTCGCCCCCACTTCCTAGGAGTACCTGTGGTTGTTGCAACCCCCGGGTAAATCCAACAAGAGGGCGAGACGCAGAGGCTGCAGAGCTGGTGTCCAGGTCCAGATCAGACGAGCCGCTTGGAAGCTGTTTGGTCACGCTCGTCCAGCGCCAAGCTACAGGTGGCTGCGTCCCATTCCCCTCTGGCAGCAGGGCGCGCTGGACAGCGCTGCCTCCCTACCGCGTCCCACCGGGTCTCCACTCTACACGGGAGCAGACTGGATCCATGGTGGAGCAGACTGGACCCCGACGCTGTACCGGCCTCCCGTGTTTACTCCTGTGGACCGTCTCTGGACCAGCGGTACGTCACGTGACCGCATGAGATGTCTGCGGCAGATTCCAAAGCGCTCAGCTGATCACGCAGCTGATCACCTTCGTTCTGCCTTTTTGGATTACTAAACACCCGCTCCATTGCAAATAAGTCTTTCTCAATAAATGAGCTCTTCTCCAGAAAAGTCTTGCACTTCCTTTTCCTCGTTGAAACGTGGCAATGGGAAGATGAGTTTATCCATCTG